AAGTCGATCAATTCCTCCCGCGCATCAGCTGTTTTTCAGGGACATGCATGCACGTGTTACCTGCATAACACTAAGATGTCTTCGTTTGTTGAATCCCAGGCACAGAGAAAACGACCAAAGAGCGAAGATTTAGATGAGCCTGTAGACCACCATAGAAATTACCGAAGCCATTCTGGCCAAAAGTTAGTAGAGCAAAATTACTCACGTTTGATATTAATTTATCTGAATGTGGCAGATGCCCAAATGCATTCTAATTTTCTTCTGAAAATATAAAGGTGCAAACAAAATTGAAGTAGTATTGTTGAGTAGGGCATGGAATGCTGACATTGTCAACCATCTTCCTCGCGGTATTCAAGAGCTACCATGGTGTACTTCATACGCCTTGACAGATCTCCCACCGAGGATTGTGCATCAACAGATCCACCAACATCACCGATTGCAATGTATCCAACTAAGCAGTGTGGAATTCCGTTCCTACTAACATCGCTTTTCTGCCTACTAAGATGCAACAGGGGACTTGGTCATCACATTTAAAAACTTCGTTTTATAACATAACTCCAGCGAAATCCGAATAAGGTAAATTTTTTGAATGGAAGAACCTTAAAGTCACCGTTCCTATCGTTATCCCGTGTACGACTTCAGTAGTGGCTTGCGAAGTCTTCAGAACATACATTGCTATCAATTCCACGAATAATAGTTTTTCTCTTGGGGGTTGTAGGAACTTTAGTTTCAACAAAGCGCGCTTGTAGTTCAAGATGAGTAAAGTTGCTCACCTCATCTGTCACAGAGAGTCATGCATGCTTCATGTCATTCCCAGGGAAACGGACATTTGCCATTTTTTTGCCCGTCTGATTGCGTACAATTTCAAAGCCAAGTGACATTTGGTCACTTTAGCGGAGGAAACTCGACAACTGTTGGACCCGCATGGGATAAGGCGTAGTCACTGTGAGGATATAACTAACTCGACGAGGGTTGTCACCTCCTAACAATAAACTGACAGTAAAATAATCTATATTGCTAATAGTTTTTAGTCTGGTTACATCGTCATGAATGCTATAGTTCTCTGGAATCCTTAAAAATTTGCCACATTGACAATCCTTTGGTAAAAAGCAGGTGGATAATACGACTGTTTACCAAGTTGGCATAATTGGTAAATTGACCATATACAGATGTTTTGGGCTCTAGAATTCTAATCCGCTGACAGAGTGCGAGTAGCTCATTTCAAATGACCTTCGGTCAGTCAGCTGTTCAAACGTGCGCCGAATAAAGCTCACGAAACAAGCACTTCTTGGCGTGGTTGACTTGGTATTCGTGTCCTCCAATCCACAACTGACGCACGTGAATAGTCCGTCAACTCGCACGTGATTGGTGCATGTGCTCGGCAAGCTGGAGTGAAAATCAGTAGATGGCTGATGTCCTGACTGACATGTGGTTTCTCGTACAACTACGAGCCATTATTTCTGCATGTAAAATCAACCCGCTAAGTTCAGGAATGTACAACTGTCCTGTGGAGTTATCGAACATCTGGTCCAATTAATCATAGGTCACTATCCACTGAATTCCTATGATGAATTTGCACTCAACAATCCTGCTATTGATGGGACACCTTCTGTGCTCAAATCTACTAAGCGCCGACCTGATGGATTTGACCAGTGAAGCGACTTGTGCAGCCCGCTGTTTTGCACTTTTTTCACAGTCGGTAAGTTCAATTATCGTCAGAATGGAACGTTTGGCTACAGGCTCCGGATCGTTCTTTTTCTTGTCAGCTGTTATTGAGTTAACCTTCAACAGTTCAGAAACAATTACTTCGGTTAGAAAACCGCGTATATCTTATTTACAAGCATTTCCATCGGTGGTGCTTCACAGGGTCTTAAGGAACCTGCTAAATTAATATTAGCAGTTGATGCTTGGTGGAGGGAATGATACCTCCCGACAAAAAAACTTGCTAATTTTCGCAACCTACAGGACAATCTGTAAAGGGTGGAATTCGGACAGCATAAGCAAATCATGGGGTGAATAAAATAAACGATAAGTGGTTTATGTGTGAGAAGTTGTCCATAAAAAGTGTCTGTTTTACAAAATGGCGTCTGGGCGCACCCACATCTGTCAGAAGAGAGCTCCACTGTTTAGACACGCATACAAGTTAGAACCGGAGACATTCAAGTTGACGGGGCCGATCGATATATTTCAGTGGATGATCTCTCAGTTGGATTGTCCGTAAATAAAAAGTAGAGTACCACACTTATGATCCGGCTGAGTTAGTGCTTTACTATACTATATATACTATGCATATACTATGCACTATATATATACTATATACATACTATGCATGGAATAAGCGCCTTTGTAGGCTCTTGACAGATGGGACTTCAGAAACTTGAACCACATCTATAGTCCTGCACTTAGAAGGGATGCGCCTGTCTGTCCAAGCTCAAGTGAACATGGGAGGTGAATGATAGGACGAGTTTCTACGACTGATTTACCGAAGACCCCACAGAGAGTCCCCAAGTGTAGAATGAATAGCTCGGGTTCGTAGGCAGGCTGAATGAAGCATCCTGCATACTGGGATCCTGCACACTTGATCAGCAACCCTTATTCCTGCTAAACCCGTCGAAACAGCTTACCATTCGAATAAGTGCAGCTATCTTTTTTCACGTCTGATGGACAGTATGGTGCACTTGTTCTAATTGGCTAGAACTTAATCCTTGCTACACTGTTATGCCATTTAAAGGTCATCTTGTGATGCGGTTTAGCCCCGTATCCGATATATTTCTGTCGTCGGTGAATGCTTCATTAACTCGGGAAGGTCATTATCATGAGTAGCAGAACGAGGCTCGGTCCGAGTTGGGCGCGTTTGGTTTATCGGAGCTTGCACAAAATGATCTCCCGGAGCCGATGGTAGCTATAAGATTCGGGTTTGTGGTTAACGAGGGGGTCTCTAAGGGGAAGAGTGGATAAGCGGAAGCATCTACCGCATAACCCATGTTGGCCGCAGGATGTAATGTGATTCCTTTCAAGTTGATATATTAAGTCGTCAGTCATAATGATACCATTACATTACAATAGATCCGGATATGAATTAATTTTTTTGGGACTAAATGCGCTCTTGTTTTGTAGGTCCAAGCGACAAAACTGTGCTTTCCAAATACTTGGTTGTTGGTCTGTTCGCCGGGCTTGGCAGTTGGATTGCAAACGTTTCATCACTAATCGAGGTGACATTGTCAGTGCAGGGTTGAGTATTCAACCGCGGTTGAAGGGACATTGACTAAAAACCGTAGTGGATTTGTATCTCCTTCAAGCAATACGGCTATTTTTTCTCACTGAGAACTAGCCCTCTAGGCGAATCAGCAACCATTGCCGACTACTGCTAGGTTAACCTGCGTGACAAACTTATGGAATAAGTTAGACGTCATCGAGGTGGATATTCTCGAAGAAATGTGGACATACAATACATTTTACGATAAACCCACATTTAGAATTAGTAATAACCATAGACACAATCCACAGATTATTGTCATGATGACATTCACCAACTCACTACTCAAAGTTTTCGGACGGTTAAGCAGCACATGGTATCTAACAAAAACGAATGCACACCTAATAAGTGACCTTGTTATAACATTCCTACTGGACTCAAAGAAGGCGAGAACCGCAATCAACTCGATTTGTCGGAGCTGATGAGATCCTGGCAAAGAATTGATAAACGACACATGATGGTTCAGGACCAACTGAATCTTTGCATGACTGGCAAATCTCTCCGGCGGTCTAGTGCCATAATTAACTCTTACTAACGACAGAGAACTGTCAGACACTGGTTATTCACAGAGAAGTGTCATCATGCTGCTGTTCATATTTCTATATCCCACTTGGTATTGCTGTCTACCAACGGTTATATTCTTGATTATTCTATTTGAACACGTCATAGCATAGTTTAGATACAGGCTTAGCCAACTGCTGAGAAGGATGATATGTTAAGCATTAACAAACATAGCGCATTTCTTGTAGTCCACATAAACTCGACCCTCTTTGTTTACAAAACTTGATAGGCTGTCCTTGAATGTCGTCATCAGTATGCCAGGTTTCGACGTCACACAACAACGATAATTTTTTCATCCGGCTTATTCATGAACGCGCATTTTCGTTCAACGTGAAGCGAGAATAAAGGCGACGAAACTGTTAGTTTTACATATTCTGGATTCAGTCCCTGGTATCTAGAGTTTTTATTAAACGCAAAAGAGATTAAAGTACACGACTGCCCATAATCAGAGACCCTCTATCGCAACGACGTGACATGAAACAAGCTTATTTTAACATGGAGTTCAGAATGGTTCGATGATGGGTGTCTTAGTTCAGTGTCTGTAGGCAAAGAATAAGGCAATTCCAGAAGTGGACTGTTTTGACGGTAAATTTAGAGTTAGGATCCAGTTCCGTAGCACAGCTTGATAGGGATAGCTGAAAGTGAAAAGATATGTTGCGCGGCTAGAAGACTAAATGAGAGAGCTGGAAAATTTGAAAACCGATGAGCATTCCCCGAGGTAGTAGCTGTAGAGGTGAATAAGTCCCGACTATGGGAGTGTTGTTGCACGTTCTCTGTCGAGAATGGTGTGAAAATTCGAAGTAGCGTAGATGAACACAATAAAAATAGTTCAGGGTAGGACGGTTTCTAGAAAACAGGCGAGTAAGAATGAGGCATGTGTGTGTGATTAAAACGAGGGACTCATCAACTTACAGAAGCGAACCACAAGAAATTAATGATATCTTGTCTAGTAGGATTGGTCGTAAGACTTAATCAAATGAAGGTCCATAATGGGTCACGTCAGAAGGTTTAGATCAGGTGGGTAACACTTGGAAGAGACGAATTAACTACTGTTACAGACAATCTGCCTATTTCACTGCGGTTAGTTTTCCAATTTGTACCAGTCAGTGACGTGCAATCACACAGCCACGGAAGGATATAAGGTTCGAAACTGAAAGATGTAAAATAGTGAGACCTTTCATTGTTATTTTCGGCGAAAGAAAAGAAAAAGAAATCGTTCAGCTGCAGCACCCTTCCGGTGCCTAGCTGCCATGCCACCCGAAGGAAGCACGAGGACTGGGATACTGCCAGGTTGCCCAAACCTAGACAGGGAAGTCGAGTGGCGGAGGTCGGATTCGAACCACGGACCTTCCGGTCAGTGAATTCGCGCTCTAACCACTTGAACCGTCTCGCCCCAGTTTCGGCGAATTAGTAAAGTAACATCTGAATGACTCACCTCTCGTCCTGTTAAGTACTATCACTAGTTCAAACGTCAGTCAACACTATAATTTATTTTGTGCTCTGTGAAAGAGTTTTTGTCCGTCAAAAGGTCTGAGCTTCAGCTACGGAATGAAAAATTCGTGTCAATTATTTCTGTCTTTAGTATTAGCAATTAATCGGATGTTTTTGACGTTTCTTGATAATAATCCCATTGGACAAAGTGAAAAAAACAACAATTCATTTTTCTGACAAGATGAATTTAGATGACAGTAGTTTGCGCACAAAAGCATCGAGGTTATCTAGGAGATGGTTTTTAGGCTGAAATCTGAAGATGGGGAGGGATAAACTCAACTATGATTCACTTAGTGTATTACACGAATTGTTTATAAAAATGAACGATGCGAATTAGGTCGGTTTAACCCGAAACTGATGATTATTATACCCATTTAATTTAGCACAATATGGCCATTACGAGTTGGCCTTAAGAGGACAGGGCTCAGCAATGTCCTGTAACTCTGCCGTTCTAAACTAATTAACACAGTCCGCTAAAGATGACCTACCCACAGAACCAATCACCATTTTATGTGCACTTATGCTAGGTAGGAGGACAACACTCTGCAATCCACACTGATTTTAGACAGCGAGGTTTGAATTCCCAGTCTACTACTGCATTGTCGGTGTCCTATTCATAAGAAAGTATGACTGGATGTATGCAGCCTGCAGCATGTCAGAAATGCCGTCGAGAATGTGACTGCAAGAATTTGAAGAAAATGCTCCTATCTACCTTCAGCTAGTTCGTTATGTTGGAGGTTGAGGGTAGCCTGGGTATTTTCATAATCATAATCCAGGCAATATTGTCGTTGGTTTTTTCGCCGAGCTGGACTGCAATCAAATTGCCCAGCTCAGCGAACAAGCCAACGACCATCTACGGTACCTGAGCTACCGACTTTTTCCTCTATAGAAAACCAGGAACTATTTTACAACTGCACATGAGTGGTAAACAACAGGTTACTTCCAAACATGCGTTTAGTCGCAGGCATGTGGGTATAAACTTAGCCGGGTGATATCTAGATGAACCTGCAACAGTTTCCAAGATTCCTCCACTTGTTAAACGTCTCTGGAGAATGCTTAAACAAACTGGGCTCATATTTTTAGCAGGCTGGAGATAGGGGTGTCAACAGAATACCAGATTTCCAAAGAGGCCGTCTAATCAGGTAGACACTGGTGGACTGCAACTCTTTCCACTAAGTCCAAATGACAGGAAACGGGAACGCCCATCTTGTCTCTCATATTAACATCTTTGTACAGTTCCTGATTCCTTATTACTATCTTTCGCAAGGATTGTTTTTTAACATTTGCACAAAATGTAACGTGTACGATTGTAGACCTGTACTGAGTTGGCATGTAGAGCCATCTGACCAAGGCTTAGATCACTGCCGGAAACCTGCAGCCGTCACATACGTTGAATTAGTTCAATGGGTGGCCTCACAACAACAACAAAAGCAATAGGAACAAAAACAACAGTGAACTATGTTACTCTAGTTTAGGACTTGAACTGTTTGGTTAGCTTCGTTAGATTAACGGGGTTCGATTATTTTCTTGGAGATAAAACATCTTGAATGGGCGTCGGCTTATTTTCTGAGCTAAACGACTCACCGGCTTGACTTCTCATCACTTTCCGGGATAATTTCACCAATCCCTCGTTGTCTAGTTGAGTATAGTTCCGTGTCATCGTTTGCGTCACTGCGGCTGTCGATGTAAATTTAGAATTCCTACCAATAGCATAGATTTTCTGTTGATATCCACACCGAATAAACTATATACGGAGAAGCTCAGTAATCGGCTGGGTGAAACTTTATTCTGTGCCAAGACTAAAGTAAGCTTGACCTGCCTTCAAAGCAGCACACTCGAGATATTTTCCATGATTTTGAACTTGTTTCACTTTTTTGTCGTTTTGATGTATGAGACTCTTGTACCACTGGGGGAATACATTCGCTTACTTTGGTATTAACCAAAGGCTCAACTCAACCTCTCGTTTGTGGAAATCTACCTAGCAGATAGGATTGGTGGAAACACTGGGACTAAGTTTATGTGATGAGTCCCAATAAGGACAAAGCGATTACTGAGCTGTCGAGGACTACCTTATGAGTAGTATGTTATATCAATTACATATTATTCCATTTTATATGGCTAAACTTTGTTTAATAGCCTTAAAACGGTGACTTATTTACCAGGCTCAGTTCTGCAATGCTGTGTTAGCTTATGTAGCTATGTGCTCCTCTCTCACCCCAAAAATCCGTACGTTCTGCAAGCCCTTGTCAATTTTTTGTTTCCTTTTGGATAGAGTGGAAAGCAAAAATTTCATAGTATTTTGCTTACACCACAGGAAATATAAATCTACGATCAGCAACCACCAAATTTTATGCAGGTCACCTCTGCGGTAAACAGGCCCACAGCGTTTCCTGACGGTTTCAATAATAATGACCAATAATAAGTCAGCGTGTGTCATGGGAAGGCTAAGAACGTGACAAAATCTACATGCCTATACTGGGGACGGTCCGGTTTCCCAAGATGTCTATCACAATGAAATGTGTGAGAAAGCATGGTCAAGAAAGGTGTCCACCGTCTTGTCTGTTTATATTTGTCACCGTCGCGTAGATTGCAACGATAAGGGTAGACAGGATGTTACGCATCAAATTACTGCCCAGGGCCAGATGAGGCATGCTTCTCTGGTAGTAGCCAGCAGTCCGTTGTTTTATAAACACAACCTAGTAGGGTGTTTTTCGCATGTAGTTCAGCAGTGCACTAAAGTGACCGTCTGCCTGGACATATTTGTGTAGTACCATCTGTAACCGTATTCGGTCAATAAATTTAGCCAAGTATCTAGCAGAAAGCCTCACCCTACCTAGGTATGCGAATGAACCGTTCTATGTAGCGTCCGCACTGACCAGTGAGTTGAATCTTGCTTAAGCCACTCCACCAAGTAGGACTGAAATGTATAATTTTATCTGGCTAGGCAGAAATTTCTTATCTCCAGCCAAGTTAGTTATTACTGAAGGTTGCGGATCTTTAGCTCACCCAAATCAATTTGCCATTATTTGATCCAGATAGTTTAGTGGTCACAAACTTTGCGGTTAGTGAAATTTGCAGAGACGGCAACTGAATGCTTGACTGATGAGGAAACCTTACCAATCAGCTGATTTTGTGGACGATATTCGAGGGAATTATCCGAAATCTTTCACGTAAACACTACTAATCGTCACGGATAACCAGCCTTGCTATTCTTCCTGGGCCTCGGTACTCATAGCATTATCAACGAGGGTCTAGATCGCCCGAACTATTGGGATACGATAGTGATTTCTTCAAAATTAGAGAACTTAAAATTCTGCGAAGTCCACAAAGCTTCACCAAGTCTATTCCGTTCTTTAGAGTGCACGTTGTGCCATGAGAGCAGAAAGCTAGGTTTTGTGACACAATTTCTGAACATCTATCGTGTAATTATAAAAACCTGTGATGCAGTCCAGCCGGTGGTTTATCTGGTCCAAAATTAGCATAAGTTGCGTGAAAAAGAAATTCAGCATGCGAATATCGCTGGTAAGATGCATGTTCTCTGGATTGCGCCAATGTTGAACTTTTTTGTCATGCCTAACTAGGACGATAACTTGAGAGTTATAGATGGAAAAATATGTTTTGTTACCACGAAGGACTGAGTACGGCATTACAAACTGGCTAGTAATTGTAAGTAGCTCCATTACCAGAAATTGTTTAACTCCATTGCTGAGAGCTACTCAGGCAGGTACAGTAACTCTAGCTCTAAGATATCAACAACCAAGCACTTTTGTTATATTGTTCCCTACTGGTGAACATCATCTTGTCAAAAACCACAGAATTTGTGATTTATGTGTCAAAAGATACTGATCGGACAATTAGGTTATGTATAGGTATTGACAAATATCTGTTGGTTATGCTCCACAGTACGGTACGCACACCGGATTTAGCCAGTACAGCTCTTGTTCATGCTTGGATGCCCTACCTACCAACTTATCGGAAAACGAACGCAATTTAAACAATCTTGTACTGTCAATTTTAACACGTGGCTATGCATTTCTTATCCCCCAGTAATCGTTTAACAAAATGTTAGAGCTGGATCTAACGGTCCTTCCATGTTAGACGAAAGACCACTCTTCACCCTCAGTTGGGTTCGAGTCAAGGAAAGCCTTCTTGATGTTCCAGTTCTCGCGTGCTAGAACATCGGTTTGTGGCGCCGACTAATTACAAAAGGTAGAGTGGGCCTCACTTGTAACCAGGTGCATTCTCTTGCTCCGATTTTGGCCACTATGTGGTGGCGTTTTCGGACGAAAGGCTCAATTTTCCGTGCCATGTAGTCTTGCTATGTCTCACGACAACTTCTTCTCCGTCTAAAGATAAGGAAAATCACGTCCGAGGTTAACGCCATTGAGATGAACGTGTGCTTGTTTCCAGAGTCAACGGACTGTCTGATAGTGCACATCAATCTGACAGATTAAGTGACTCATTTTGTGAACAGTGTTTTGTTCGACATAGCAACTCACACTCCCACCTTGGCCTCTGGTTACCAACAACCAGTGTGTGACGTAACAGTGTCTGGTTTAGCGGAGTGGTGTGAACTGCTTTTGAAAGCTCAATTTTGGATATAGTGACCAGAAAAATAGTGGCGCGTACAGCACTGCGTTCGGCTCAACTGCCTATCTGAGCAACTGAATCTTTCAAGTACTAGTTTTAGGTGAGCTTTCAAGGTGAGTTAATAGATTACAGATGCAATACCGAAAAATGAAGAATGATTCTACTTGCACCTCAATATCACCTTCCTGACTCGCGCACGTTATGTAAAAGGAGGCTTAGCATTTGTTAGCACACAAGACTATAGTGATGAACAGTGTCCACATTCCGAACATTTCCCCTAGGAATATCAGCGGATTTTCACCACGTGGTAATCTGTTTAAATTTGGTTCATGCCCTGTTAGATTGCATGGGGTGGAAATCTTTCAGAATGTTCACTATCCAGACCAAATCATTTGAGATACCGGTCGGCATCATGTCACCCACCATTTACCGATTCATTCAGAATAGACTGGAACCGATGGCACATCATTTTGAGGCCTAGCTGCCCTGCCATCCGAATGAAGCACGAAGGCTGAGATACTGCCAGGTTGCCCAAGCCTACACAGGAGAAGCCAAGAGACAGAGATAGGGTTAGAGCCACGGATCTTCTGGTCAGTAAATTCGCGCGCTGACCACTGAGCCATCTCATTTTGTGGCGAGGATATATGAATGGTCAGACTACACGCCCTTCCTGTAGGCAACAGGAGGGTGTCCTGGCTAGCGCTCTGTTTAGTCCCAGATGCTTTGCGTAGTCATGGAGTGCATGCACCTGGGAGTTACTCATCACTTCCCTGCGGTCAGCCCTATGGCTCATCCTGGTGAACAAGCAATATAGGGAACAGATGGATTATGTAAACTTCACATCTGGTCACACTTCACACTAGCAGTGAAAAACAGTTCACTTTCACACACTTCTGTTTCCCCGTTCGATTCAAACATCCTATCGTGATGCTATAGTTTCTGTATAGTCTAGCTGACCATTGGGAACACTGTTTATGTTCACATAAGTGGAATGGCAGCAGGTCCTTCTTGTTTCATGAAGAAAACGAAAGGAACATCCAGAATTATCATAAGAACTTTCACCGTTTGTCAAATCACATGACTAACCCATGATGGTGTGAACGGACAACAGTAGTAATATTTGTAAAACGGAATAAAATGACAGTTATATCTTCACCTTTCATGCCGATTAAAAAAGCACGCTGTTTTGGTGATAAGCGCTTTAATGTCATTGGATTCTTATCCTAGATATATATCAAATAAGTAGTTTTTAACTGCAGTTATGTTGAGTTTTTCGTCCAGGTGAATTAAGTAGTAGGTCATTGGTGTTTATACACTACAATAAACAAAAAACAATTAACGCACTTAATACTCTTAGAACCATGTAGTTCCTGAACCAAGAGACAAGCATCCAGAGAAGGGAACTCGTATGCCCTGTCCACCTAACAAAAGTACACATTGGAAATTAGCTATCACACTCAGGTTCTGGTTTTCAATTCATTGGTGGAACTAAGGCTACATGAAATTTAGCGTCCCATTAGCTCTGAGAGGGTGTGCCATCGACTAGTCAGTCTTATCAGAAGCATAGCACATGTAGCGAGCGTAATTTGCAGAATATCCTTAAGTCCTAATACACTACTCATAAGGTTGCTGAAAAGTCTTCGAAAGCCCACTTCCTTAAGTCCTCATTACTTGGGTTATCTGTCCACATGGCCATTGGGCACAGTAAGAATCCTTTACATCTATATTCCTTTCAGTATGCAATCAAATATCTCGGTTGATGTCGAACAGTTTCAGTGCTCAAGAACCTTTTCTGTGAAGGGACTAAACAAGTACTTTGCCCACATTTCTGTCCCCCAATGAGTGATTCATTACTGGCCGTAAACATCCTAAACAGGAGGGTGTACATGTCAGAAGAAAACTTTTGGCAGACAGCTATTTTGATTTGGCTGTACGTTGTCTAGTTCTTTATTGAGGGTTACCAGCCAGGTAGTTGAAATTTTGCGTCTTCAAATATAACACGTAAATCAAAAATCGAACAAACTACAATCACTAGGGAAATGAAAATCATATATCCGTTTATCGAAATGCGAATCTATCAGGAGATGAGTGTACGCTTATTTTACCTCGACTGAGACACTGTGCATCGTGAGATTCCGGATTTCTCCGTCACTCTATAGTTTGTTGACTAACCCATTCACACATCCTTTGCATTCAGCTACGTGTTGAACCGGCTGAAGGCCCTTTGCGCGGTAGAGCATCGGACCAAAGAATGGACAGAATCGGGTGGTTCTTTGACCGTCACTATTTAAAAGACACTTTAGGAGGGTCGAACGAGACTGACATTACTTAACTCCACAATACATATGAAAGTTGCCCAAGAACAGTTAGTAGCTTCTCAAACCGTAGTCGCGTAGCTGATTTCAGTAACAGATTACCCAACGCTGCTCTTTTCACGGTTGTCAGGAGCTATTTTGTTCAAGTAACACGAGTCAGTTAGTATGTAATTGGAAAGTACAAGTCCACTGATTGCTTATTAAAAGGGCAAGGCAGACTGGGAAGTTCAGTATGTGGTAGTGGACTGTTTGCAGATCCAGCTGCGAAAGAAGAAAATTTTCAACCGGCTAGCGTCCTTTTCTGATGGACATATGGTCTGTACTTCCACTATCACATAATTTGCATGTGACGCACAAGTCAGTGATTGCACTAGGCTTTGAAATCGTCACACTGCCATATGTTGGGCGTATGTTTGGTCTCAGCTCATTTGGCAATCACAGTAGCACTTGCAAGCACGATGGCTGTTCAGACTGTCAGTCTCTATCCATAAATCTAATTGATGATAACTGTTTTATAAATGCCACTTTTTCACACTCACTTTATTTCCCAGAAGGTACACTCAAGACAAGCAACCAAATTAGTCACTGCACTTGTGTTTCCGACCCTTAACAGGGTGGTCACCTTGAACAGTGCCCTAAAACGCAGACTGAATGTGTTTATTTAATTGAAGAGCCAAGTACCTATATTGAGGTCAGCTGTTCTAATGAACCTTCATCTCTTGCTTGAGGTGTGAATATGTGTGATGAATCACTAGGACGGAGCAAATAAAACTCATCCTGTCGGTCTGTAGCTACGTCCGATGCTGAGACAGGCGAACATGCAATTTGTTTCCCTCATGATTAGTAGCAATTATTCCCTGAACAACTGTCGTATGGAACTTTTTGATGAAAGACGCAAAATAACTCAAGTTTGAGGTTAGTGTATAACCAGGGGACTGATTGGTGAACGGGTATCTTGTCCGGTGTGCCCAGCTTTGCAGTATTTTATACTGGATCCCAGTCAAACAAAGTATTAAGTATTACGAATTAACTGTAGTTAAATGCTTTCTGTATACCCGTCCCGGCGTACCTGTCTCATTTTATCTACTTTCAGTTTCATTTAATGTCACCAGTCTATAGTACTCATGTGTTAACTGATGCACGCCCTCTTCTAGTAAGTTTTTTCTGAAGGTTGATTTTGGGTTCATGATTGGCAGGCAGAATCTGTTGAAGGTAGCCATTGAGTCTGACTTTGCTCTCTTGATGTTCCCCGCCAAGGATCTTTCTGACCTCTATGAGGAGGTTATACAAATCGATCCTTTTCATAATGCCTGACAGGTTTCACGCGTATATTAGGCGCTAAATGATGTGAAAGCCGACTAATGTCTCTGAAAGTGAGTACACGCATCTTTACTGTGGAGCGTTATAACAATGAATAAAATGCTAAAGGTCTTGGTCATGTTTGACGAAGTCGTCTGTAATAAAGTGGGTAAGCAATGCTAGTTGTTTCGGACTATTTAACGACAACTGCAGCAAAATGTTTTTTAAGCGCTTCAAGTTTTCGGAAAATTTGCTTACGAAAAGCAGAAAAAGAATAACCAGTACTGGCGGGGCAGAACAGGTCTGTGTTAGGGACATCTCAATCGCTGTGGGTCGGCGGTACAAAAAACTGAGACCTCTCTGTAGGTATAAACTAATATACAGAATTTGTCCAGCACCTTGTTTGCGGCTAAGATTCTTTAGTACATTACCCCATCTATCTGACGACCCTCATTGTAACGGCAATTTCTCCAATACTACCGTGTGACCTTGCACGGATATTGAAGATTTTTGTAGCTACTTCTCTTTCGTTTCTTCAGTTCAGCTGATTCGTTTGAATTTTCGCGAGTCACAATAGAGAAGGAATGCTGCGCTCAGAATAGCTGTTATCATAACCTATGTTGATGTGCTGGGCGTAGCCAGATCACGCGGCTGATGAAAAACATTCATCGAAATGCCATCTGCTTCATCGTTCCTCATTGAGGAGGGCTGTATGAAGTACTAACCGGTTTTGGTCTCGGAATCTACTTTTTAACGTTCTGGTCTCCGTGTTGAGAATGCTGACGAAATCTGAGGCGTGATTCTTTGACTTACTCCAAAAATTAACCGACAGACAGTAGGAATGTTTAGTCTGAATAGTCCTCGGTCCTCACGATGAACCTGGCTGATTTACAACAAGTGAAATCCCTGAAAGTTAGTTCAGTACACGTTATGTACAAGGAAAGCAAGGGGGACCTGAGTGGATGGGAAATTAAACGAAGTGCTTATAGATTGCTCATTTAGAATAGATAACCCTACTTTACGAACATGCATGGAAGCCATTGAATGGAATGAAAATTTACACCATGCATTTTCTAAAATAACCTCGTTCTTTACAAGTGTAGCAAAACCGCTCATAGTTATCAGTCCTGATAAATATCCTCTCGGAGTACAAAAGCTTGGAATTGAAAACACAGGTCACCTGAGTAACCAAAGGACCAGTTGGAGAATCCAAGCATGTTTTTAATTTAAAAGATGGAGATGCTGAAGCACAGTCTAGGTTTTTGAACAAAGTAATTAAGCTGTGTACTCTTTTAGTTGTAATTTCTCTCTTATGATGGGGCAAGGGTTAGACTGTTAGACTCTTGTTCCCAGCCGAATCGGTTCGGTCTTTTGGGGTTACAAGAAGGGCCGTCACAAGGTCTGGTCCCACACAATGTGATCTGAGAGCAGTTGTAAGATTTTTTTGAATGTCCTTATATAAGCAAAGCTGATGAATGATCTGTGTCTTGATCCTAAAATGTGGTGGGTGTGTCGCACTAGGCGATCGACGTTCGCACACTGAGTTTCAGATGTGAGCCTCACTCCAATATATATAAATTTTTTTGAGATAACTTCATAAGCACTCTTCTCAGTGCGATTAAAATTAAGCTTCTGGGCTTCAATCGACTGCTGTTGCAAAGTCATGGGCAGTTCGCTCTAGTTCGATTCCACGGGAAAGGTTTTACAACCAAAATCGTTGATTTTTTTCCTTGCCATGAAAGTGCCCTTTTTCATTATGTTCCTTGCAGAAAGTTTATGCAGTCTTTTTTAGTCAGTAAAACGTTAGGGTTCACTGACGTGTACTGTGACCGAATTAAGAGCAACATCCCATTTTTTACCACAAGGCAATTCTAGCGAGAATTACCAAAGTATCCAAGTATAGTGGAGGGTGTGCCGAGCACTCTTTGGCAAAAATAGATTCAAGAATCTAGCATAAGTCCATGGTTTCAGTCAGGAGCATTAATAACAATAATAACATGTCTCGGTATAAGTA